CTATCTCTATGCTTCCCCCCAAAACCCTCCCCCCCCATTTTAAGATACTTAAATATCTCCATGAAATTCTTAAGAGGGGGGGGAAGAGTGATGATAAAAGTTCATACTTAATTCAAAAGCAAGAAACACCCATGAAATTAACCCAAACTCTTGTGGATAGAACGCTTCATCCTTCCGTGCCAAGCAATGTTCTCTTTGATAAGCAGCTTCAGCAGGCTGTGGCCATGGTCAAGGTTCCTTGTCAGAGTTCTACCTCACAGGCCAATCTTTGAGAGGCTCTCATGATATCTTTTCTCCAGGTTACATTTCAAGCCATTTGGCCCAGAGAAGTCAGATGTGCTTCAGGCATTTAAAAAAAACCACCACCACCAAACTTAAAAAGATCATACAGCAAGCACTGCCAAAGACAAGAGCCACAAACAAAGCGAACTTACTGTAGCTACTTTCGCTATCGCTGGCATTAGAAGAAACATGTTCTGCAAGAACAGTAAAGCAAATTAAAGAGATACCAAGCATTGTGGAGCAGCTGAAGCTAAATGGGGCACGGTCATGCAGTCAACAGAAAGGTGAGCAGAAGTGAACTTGGAGCCGGAAAGAATGAGCTCATTCTGGAAAAACTTCAGCTACATGAGAAAATGAAGATGAAAACTTAATCTCTGTATTATGGGGATCCACCCATCCTGTCACCCACCCATGGATTTTTTTAGGCACATTCCATCCTCATCTTTTCTCCTATGAGGGCCAATTCTTCAGGTATATATAAGTTACTCAATTACATTTAAAAAAGAAAAACCCTCTTGCCCTGTTCATACATCAGTGATGTCTCAGGCTACTTTGACAAAGGCTGCTGTTTCCAGGCATGATGATTTTTTACTATGAAAATGGCTCTTTTCAGTCTGAAGGGATAATTTACATTCAGGGTCTTCTTCTGTCCTTCCAACTAGATGTTAATCTCTGTGTAGGAGTTCCTTGTTAATGCTTAATGCCCTTTATTAGTATGAATGTGTGTGTTGTTTTTTTCCCTGACACTTTTTAAGAAATAATTCCAGGAAAGGAAACAGTTGAAATAATTTTCTGCTTTGGTTCATGAGAGCAAAAGTGTTTGGTGAGCAACTGAGTCACTTGTAAAGACTCCAATGGTTATAGGTGACTGCATTGGCTGTTTAAATTCATGATGACATGCAGATAATTAATAATTAATTATAATTAATAATTATATAATTAATTCATAATTAATTCTCTCTGCCTAGAAGCTAGGAAACATCTGTTTGAAGACAAAATCTCAGTCAATTATCTGGATGGTCATTTAAAGGCAGAAATTTTTTATTTTATTAAAAGTCAAAGACTAATTAAGTACCTTGTTTACTAGGGCTGAAATTAGATGCATAGAGTATCATCCTCATTTTTGAGTCCTGCCCCCAAGGCTTGGGAAATTTAAATAAAATAATTAACAACTGTTTAGTATTTAAATATTATAAAATTTTAAAGGGTGTGCTAAGAACACACATTTTTAAATCACCTTATTTAATATTTTTAAGAAGAAAACCCATAAGATGTTATCAGGCATAACCAGAGGCAGTTTGTAGCTGGGCAGAGAGAGAATCTTAAGTAGCCCTTTGGAATTGAATAGGCCAACAAAAGCCTTTATAGAATAAGTGATGAACCTATTTGTTAATTTAGATGTCAATAGATTATTTGTTCTTTATCTGTAATGATATTTTAACTTTTTTTTATATAACCATGCGTAATAATTGAGTGATATTAGATGTGATATATTCAAACTAAGTTTAAGAACTCAGTTCAGATAGATGTGGAATGTTCTAATAACATTGAATTTTTTGGATTAAAATTCTCTGCATTGAACCTCATGTCTTCTTAAAAAATATGTTCTGGGCACTTCGTTATTATTTTTGGATCTGATCCAAGAAAATGAACTAAGAATAAGTGGAGCTTCATTTACAATACTTTCACCAAAGATTATTAGCCACTGAATCACAGTCTCAGATGGACGGCATCAAATCCATACCACATCCTTGTCACCAGGCATGCTAATGCTCCAAAGCATTCTGGATAGTTGGATATTACTTTCATCTTTTAAAGAGCTCCAGGGAATAAAACTTTACAATTTGCTCTGTCAGAAAATTCCTTCTTAACCAAATTTAAGATGATGGCTTAGTCCTTAAAGAAGGCTATGAAGTGTCTTAGCAATTTATCTTCACATGGACTGAAGCCAAACTTTTCTTATTTCTCCCACTGTTACCTAAAATATGAGTATAAGTTATGTACAATTCTTTTTTTTCTGAAAGACTTTCCAGTGATTTGCTATGTGATAATCAACAAATAGGATTATCTATGACAATAACCTATACACCTCAATTAAAGAAAATAAGATTCATCATCATAAGTAAAATTGTTTGCTCTCTTATCACTGGGTCTATACATAAAAACTAAATGTGGCAAGGGGAGGTGTGTTGGAGAATTTCAGCCAGTTGAATTTGGATATCCATCTGGATCTCATTTTTGTCTATAATACATATATAAATAAAATCCTCTCAGCTTGATTGAATTATACTCCTTTCTGTGTGGAACTATACATCCATACATCTTTCTCATTTTTGTTTGTTGAAGTTTTTAGACCAGTGGTGATTATATTTTTCAGTTTTTAAGAAATTTTGATGGAACTTTTTTTATCTTTATGGGTGATACATGCTGAGATTTTGTTGATGTGTGCCCAAGTTTCATGTTCTTTCTCCATCTCACAAGCCAATGTTAAAGTACCCCATTGGTCAAGAACCCCAGAAGATAAAGTTTTCATCTTTAAAAAGATAAGCAGCTACCCAGGACCCAATTCTCTTCTTTTATTTCTGAGAAGCTGTATCACAATGAGCAATTTTGGAGAACGAATACTGAGTTTCGTCATGGAGTTGGCTTAATTGACTCTGGAAAACAGAGCCCAGTTCAATGTCTTTTTGTTTTGAACATAAGAAATGAACAGCTTCTGAGAATTTTGCACTGTGTTATTAAAGAAAGCACATTGAGTATGTGATGCAGTCGCAAAGAAATCACAAAATTTCTGGACTCTGTTATTTGGTGCCCATGTGATAGAATCAGCATTGAAGGAAGAAAAAAAAACCAGGCAGTGTACTATGGTGGGTAAGTGAGGTTATTAATTTGGAAGAATGAGGAACTACCTAATGCATTCTTATGACATTAATTCTATAGACTAGATGAATTCTAATTGGTTAGCTTTGTCACTCTAGACCACAAAATGGAGAACCTGACCATTTGATTATTATTTAATGCAGTTAATAAATTACTGATAGACAAATGAATGTTTCCCAAACTGTATTATACAAACTCTTCAAGCCGGATCACTGTAAGCCAGAAAAAGAAATCAGTTAAGGTTAGATCACAAAAGCATGTTCATGAAAGATCACATGGCTCAGTATTTACTTTCTGGGAATGCATGTCCCCCTTACCTATGAAACAATGACTTCTGCAAATAGCACAGCACTAACCAACTGCAGGAATGGGGAATTCAATTAAATAATCCCTTGTGAAAATACCGAAGCAAGAACACAAACTCCATTTCTACTCTAATGTTCTAGAACCCTTTGGTTGTTCTTCCAGTCAAGTGTGGGTTCTTCCTCTTTGCAAGGCTATTAGACTGCAGAGAAAATGATGCAAGAGTGTGCATCAGGGACCATCTTGGGAGCACCCTGTGATCGGAAATGGAAGGTGTTCCTCACGACGCAAGTTAGAGTGCCTAGCACACTATGTTGTTTAATGTTGACATGCAGAACAAAAGAACTGAAAACTATTTTGGGGGGTGGGGTGGTAGGGTGGGGAGCATTCACAGCTGGGTTACAAATGAAACTCGTGTGCATGCTAGGAATAGAAGGACTTCAGAAAAGAAACAAAAGTCAAACTGAAAAGTAAAGGAGGAGGGAAGGAAATTAAAAAAAAAAAAGAAAAAAGAAAGAAAAGAAGGAAAAGGAAAGTTACAGTGACCATTCCTGGGAACTTACTCAGAGTCTTTGTTCCATAACCGTCGTCACCTAATCCGGGGATGTCCTGCATGGAAGTCCCCAGAGAGAGCAATGAGAGAGGAAGAACAGCCGTAGAAGAGGAAGGAAGAAGTCAGTGGAATTGAAATGGATACTACCATGACAGACCATGTTGACTAAGCAATCTGGATCCTTGCTTTCTCTCTCTCTCTCTCTCTCTCTCTCTGTCTCTCATTTTTTTTTTGGAAACAACTTTCACCCCAAATTCTGCAGTTGGAGACTCACTCTGTTTTTTTTCCCAAGAAAAATCAGAGCTCCAAAAGTAAAATGATGTAAACAAAGAAAATTTCAGCAAAAGCAAATGGAGCCCAGTCAACACTACACAAAATATGCCAAGTGCACAAACAATCAAATTCCACTTAGATTTTCACAACAAATCCACAGATTCACTGGTTAAGATTGAGTGCAAACTGCTGAACAAACTTAAATTTAATTCCTAATTTAAAACAAAAGAAAACAAAACAAAAAAAAAGGAGTTGGAAAATATTAGATGTTGATAACCAACAGAGAGAATGAGCAACTTTTGGTTAGCCTTCCAAAATAGGAATGCAGAAAGGGACACCAGGGTTTCTGTTCCAATTTGGATCAGATTATCTCATTCTTTTGAGAATTCAAATGGATAAAATGCAAGCCCAAACAAAGGTCTGATGTGGCTAAAGATGAATTCTTCGGCCAAGAGTCCAGGCCACAATTTTGTTGAGTCTCTCCCCAGTTTTTTTGAGGAATAAATGACATTCCAAAGAAATAGAGCATGAGCTAGATCCAGAAAGCAGTCAATCACTGGTCACAGTAGTAATACCTCACCTGCCTGCCTCGCCTGTCCTGTTTGTTTGCCTAGACATGTGGGGGAGGTTGTGCCATGAGTGTCGTGCTTCCTGTTAAAGTTGGCTGTGCGTATGCTGTGTGTGACATTGTCTCCAAGAGTCTACTTACGTTCTGGATCACTGGTTTCCTGCTCACTCTGCTCCTTGCTCTTGTAGAATGGGAATTTTCGTGAAAAGATGAAGCTCTTTTTACGCTTGTCATTGAATGACTGTGAAGGAGAAAAGGCATGGGGCAAAAACAGGGACGTCTAATTGTTGTCACGCTCATGCTGACAAAACAACTAGTTTGTAAAAGTAGAGACAACTGCAGTGATGCAAATTGGGCTTCTCAAAAATAACGGTGGGGTGTCACCAAAGAGCCATTCTTTAGTAGAAAGCACTAAGAAATTTGAAGCATAACTCCTTTAAAAACACCATATCATTGATGACATCAAGGACAAGGTATCTGTTGTGAAACATTTCTTGCAAACAAGAAGTAGAAAAAATTTCTCTGAAGAATTAGAATGATTTTTTTTTCTTGAAGCCTGCCTCAGGATGAGAAAATGAGCCTTTTCAATAAGAATTAAATTTTAAATCATTTTTAAAAATGTGAAACTTTACATACGTGAGAATTTTAGATTTTTAGAGCTGGATGGGAACTTAGAGATGATTTATTTCAACCTGTCATTTTATGGATGAAAAAATTCTGGCCTAGTATGTGTGACCAAAGGGAGGGTAGTTGTTCTCAAGGTACCAACATTAATTGCTAAATCAAGAATTCACAATGTGAACAGTTGGAGAGAATTCTAACTATTAAAAGTGTAGTCTTCATAGATGTAAATTACCATATAAGGTGGTATAAGAACATTAACAGGATTGATTTTTAAATAAACATACCAGAATTGCGATAGTCAAAAGAGTGCTCTCTTCTTTCAAAATGGTCACTTTGAAAAGTTAAGCAACTTATTTCACTGATGCTTCCATTGCTCAGAATGGTCTTAGAACTCTTCATAGGTTCAATCATCAGTCAGAACTCTCCTCTTGCTCCTTCATCATCTATCTTCAAAATTCCTACTAGAATCTTGGGATTTTTCTTTAGAGTTAAGCTACAAGCCACAAAAAGACATCACTTTAATGTCCTGCCTCAATTATTTTTTTTTTAAACCAAAGAGGATCTTTCTCAGCTTGGTTCCTTTGTTTACTATATGAGGTTTCAAATGAGTTGCAAGGCAGTGTGCATGGATGTAACAGAAAGAGGGCTAGTTTGGGAGTCGGAGGACTTGGGTTTAGATTTTTACTTATTACCTGTGTAACCATAGTTAATTTACTTAACTTTGTCATCTGTAAAATGAAAGGAATAGATCTGGTGTAGCAGAAAAAGAAGTGGATTTGGAGTCAGATGACTCAGTTCAAATCTTGGCTTTGCTACTTAAAACTTCTGTGGCCATGACCAAGTCATTTAGTGTCTTTAGGTCAGTTTTTTTCATTTGTAAAATGAAGGGTTTGGACTACATGATCTCCAGGGTCCCTTATAGCTCTAAATATATGATCTTATGGTGCTCTCCCTGGTTTTATGTCTATGCTCTTACAACTCTGAGCTATTAAAAAAAATCAAATTTGCCCTAAAAATAGGGATCATGAGAGAGAAACATAAAAATTATGAACCATTTCTGAAGGGCATTCCAGGTATTCTGGAAATGGTTTCAACAATGGCAGTCTCATTGAAATAAGTGTATAGCCTTTCAAGTTTGAAAAAAGACAATAAACATGGAATATATAGGTTCGAGGCTTGTTCTTCATTTGAGAATTAGTCATATCTCCTGTATAATAAATTGTGCTATGCAAGATTTAGGACTTGTTCAAATCATCTAAAAGGCATACATTCTTTCTTGGTGGTATTCTGCTTTCATCCTTCCAACATTAATTTTGGTAACAGCATGCAATTGTTACCTAATACTCTTTTCTATTAGGAAAATAGACTCAAATCAGAGTCTAAATATGTAGGTGTAAATATGATTATAAGATTAGATTAGATGGATAATCATGAGGAATAACAATGTATTTCAAGACAGAGTCTAAAAATTGAGGCCATTTGGAGGGTTAGAATATAGAATATAATATAAGAATATTATAGTTCTTTAAGAAACAACTAATGACAGAATAAGTGCCAAGTCCTCATTTGGGACAATAGAAAGCATCATCTCAGAGTTCATCCTTATTCCAAAAACAGTTTTGCTTCGTATAGAATTGACAATTTGGTGGCAAATCCTCATCCAGAGACAATGCTGGGAACCCATGGAGATTTTCACAGTTTGATGGGGGAAAATCCTTAGAGCAAAAATGAATAATATTCTTGCATCACTCCAGTTTCATGACACTTTTACAGTTCAAGCATATTTAAACTTCAGTAACTTAAAACAACAACAACAAAAAATACCATGTCAGAATTAATGATTTGTGATCATCAGACATTCAACTTGAACATTATGGGTGACTGTCATGCAAAAGGAAAACAGGTTTCATGCAGTTTGGAAACAATGCCAACAGGAAATAAAGCCTGAGAACAACGTGGAGACACAAAGAAAGTAAAGGACATGGTGGTGGGCCCCAAACTGGGTCCGCATGCAAACCAGTTTGTTTAATGATCTAACAGGGGCCAAATGAAAATGCCAATGTGTTTTTCGTGATTAGTTCTCGTCTTTTAAATCAAGATGTAATGTGTTCACATTTCTCAAGTATGAAAATGTTGTGTATCATGAGTCATCTGATTTTGACATAATAATAATAATAATAATAATAATAATAATACTGGCCACCACACTTGTAAAATAACAAAAAAATACAAAATAATACCTCAAAAATAAAATCATCTACAACATCAGTTTTATTACCAAATGCCGTTTCATATTGGAATTAAAGAGAAAATAATGAAATTGAAATAATTAAGTTTTTCTGTGGTTTCAAGCAGATACAAAATTCAAATCATCATTTTAGTTCATATTTACATATTTAAAATAACATTAAAACATCTTTTAAAAAAAACCAACCAAACATTTCCTCAAATTTTAACATTCTTGAGGTCATATTTAAATGTTCCAACCAGAAGGGTCTTTCATTGCTATTGTTTATAATACTGTTTTATAATCTGACCTGGTGTAGGAACTCTTCGTATTATAAACTCCCTCCACTGATGCAGATTGGCAATTTGGTTGTAATTCATAGTTTTAGAGAATTGCCAGGGGAGCACTGGAAGCTTAGGCTAAGTGGGTATCAGAGGTAAGATGTGAATCCTGGTCTTTCTGATTCCAAGGCCAATTCTCCACAGGCCTGGTATAAAACTGTATTTTCACCCATATCTAATAAATAGTTATTTCTATGCAATAATTCTATAAAATCCTAACCTATTAAAATATAACTATAGTTTCATAATTGATTAAATGATAGATAATTATAGGTAATCCTAGAGTTTTATTTTAAGTATTACTTAAATATCCA